GTGATAATTTTTCCGTTGAAAAAGTACGTTTAAAGAAAATGAACTTATTCATAACATTATCTTGTTGAGATGCATCTTAAGCTAGTTTTTTTTATATATATTTTTAAGGCAAACTGAAACTAGTTAACTAGATTTTTTGAGGCAAACTTTCATTCTGTATACCTAAGTCTCGACTTATTGCTTAGGATCTTTAAAGTGTAGCGTATTTAACCTGATGGGGACCCTCTTTTAGAATACTCTCTTTTTTAGCCTTGTCAGCAAGTGGTGCGCTTCCTCAGCTCACAGGCAGCTGCAATGGAGAGAGGATGTGATGGAGGAAATCTAGTAATTTTACAAACAGAGCTAGCAAATCGGTTGTACAAGCTACTCCTGCATCATATTCAACAGGTTTGCAACTTCATCTATGTTTTGAATTTGTCAGCAATCTTATTCTCGTCTGTGCGTTACCAAGGTTTTTTTTATCGTCAGTATCACATCTACTGAGTTTCCTATTTCAGTTTATCTTCAACTCTGCTGGAGCTATGCTCCTACTATGCGATTTGAACGAATATCGGAAATGTGTGTCACAATGGCGACTCGAACCAACAGCCTCACGACAATTCGAGAGCTTACACGCTCTGGCAAATCTGCTCGTTGTGCTGCCAGAGAATCTCGCCGATGCTGCGCATAGCCCAATGCTGGTAAATTTTTCTTTCCGTTTGTTCCTTACGTCTCGTCTTCGCTCAATCGTCTTACAATTCAGGCGGACGTTGACCATACGCTTATACAAGATTTCCTGAAACTTCGTCAGGATTACAAAAATCTTAAGGTTAATGTTAATTTATATTGAAAAGATGTTGGTTGACATAGAAAAATTTTGTACAAAAACTAACATGTTTGTTATTATTGTTCATGAGTCGTTCTCTACTGATTATGTTGGTGCAATTTTGTCTGTGATTTCGTCAATTTCATAATAAATTTGTCTATGGTTACTTATGCGTGATGTTGTTACAAGGTAGTTGATCCTCAAATCTCTGATACACTCTTTTTTTTGAAGAGTAAGTTGTCAGACTAGCGAAATCTTAGTGATCGAGTTAAAGGAGAAGTATTGAAAGATGTCCGCTGAGGCACTCCGACTAGAAGAAGAGGGTAATACTTGTTTCC